CCGGGGCCCTCGTGCCCCCGCCTCGCTGGGCCTGGGCGCCTCCCACGCGCTGCTTGCTCTCCGGCTTAGCCGCTCCGCAGCGCGGGGCCGCAGGTCCCCGCGGGCCGCCCTGAATTATTCATCGGCAGGAAGATATTAGATGTACTCGCTGTCCGCTCCGCGCGGGCCGTCGTGCAATGCTATCCGACCTCCGCGCGCGCTCCGCGCCCCTCCTCCTCACGTCCGTCCTCTCTGAAACCTTGGCAGCGGAGGGGGATCACATTTCCTTTGTCATCGGGCCATTTCGCCCTCGCCTTGGTCCCCCCTCCGATCCCGAGCCTCGGGGACGGAGCCTCCTCCCGGGCGCGCTGGAATCAGTGGAACCGGCCACGACCCCGCGCGGCGCGTTTTGGAGCCGCGTGGCCAACGCCGCCGGCTCCCGCCTGCGTCATCTTCTTTCCGAACGAGTCGCCGAGCGGGACGCGGGTGGCCAGGCTGCGCCGCGCCTGCCGGGCTTTGCTCTCGCGGTGCCCTGGCCTCCTGGGGCTTCGCGCGACTCCCAGCTCGGGATGCGTGCGCGCGCGCGCGACCCCTTTCTCTGCTTTGCCGCCTCTTCCTCCTCCTCCTCCTAGCACGCCGGTTATTGGGACTGATCGGAATTCGGAATCCTTTTAATCTCCAAAGGAGCAAACTCACTTCCGCCCGAGTGCTGGGAGGGGGCTGGGGGAGGGGGTTCCAGGCAAACAGGAAACATTAGCCCTCTCGGCTCGGCCCGCTTTTGTGTGCTCCCTCCCTCCTCCCACCGACCTCCTCCCTTCTCTCGGCCGCTGGGGAGATGAACGCCCCCGGGCTCCAGTGTGACGACCTTTGAAACCTTCCAGCGCGGAGCCAAGAGCGACTTTTCCGTTTATTTAAAAAAGAAAAGACTTCATTTTCAATCCCTGGCTCTGCGGAGGCTGATATCCACTGCCCTGGTCATCTGAGTTTTCTCCCCACCTTTCATCCCCGGTTGTACGTTTTCTTAAAGGTTCTACATCTGTGATCAACACCAAAACATCACACAGTTGGTGCATTTGTATCCGTGGAATTAAACGAATCTGAATTCTGCTCGGCTGAGGGGCCAGTTCCCTTTTGAGTTGTAACGCGGGAGCAGGGGGCAGGAGACAGCTGTTCAGGGAAGGCGACCGGGTGATGGCCCCACAGCCATCTGGGTGGTGCCTGAGGCTGTTGGACAGTTCTGGGAGAGGAACTCGCGTGACCTCAGAAAGAGGCTGACTCGGAAGGGCCGGCAGAGCCACTTACCAGGATTTAGAGAGTATCTGGCCTGGAGGCCAACAGACAGAACAATTGTCTGGTCTTAACGTTATTTCACTACAGGGATAAGTGTACAAGGCAACAACCTGGATAAATTCTTTCGAAACCTCAAGCTGAACACAGAGTTCCAGAGTTCCTGCTGCAGGATTCTATTTTCGTAAAGAAAATTTTAGCATAGGCAAAACTAAACTGTGGGGATATGAAAATTACCCTTGAAGAAAAGGAATATTGACTGGGAAAGGGTATGAGGAGTAAAGAAATAAAAATACATTGTGTGTGCGTTTGTCAAAATTTATAAATGCCGCCAGGCATGGTGGCACACGCCTGTAATCCCAGCACTCAGGAGGCTGAGGCGGGAGAATCGTTGTGAGTTCGAGACCAGCCTGGGCTACAAAGTGAGCTCAAGGCCAGCCTGAACTGCTTAGCAAGACCCTGTCTCAAAAAGACAAGACAAAAAAAAAAAAAAAATTATAAATGCCACTTCAGATCAGTGCAGAATTTCACTCTAGGTTATATTACTGAAGAAGAAATAATTTAAAAGCTTGGTTACTAGCCCTAGTAGCCATGCTTGGATCACAATGATAGGGAAAGAGCGCATATATACTTCTGATTTTACTCATCGGGTGCAGGACAGGACCAACCTGGAAAGAGCTCTTAAATCAAACCAACTGGACCTTTGTGCTAGAGAGAGTGCTGGGGAGGGGCCAGGTTCCTGCTGAGAGAGGAGCTGCTCAGGCTGAGGACAGCCTGGGCCCCCAGAAGGAAGGTCCACATCCTCAGCTGCCCTCCTAAGCCTCCTCTTCATCACCCAGACAAAATAACCATCATCTGAATCATCTGAAATGTGTGAGCAGTGGAAAGACTGTGAAACCAGTAAAATCAAAGCTCCTCCTTTGCCAAATGAAATTAACTTTTTTGTATGTGTCTTTTTGATACAGGGTCATTGATAGGCAGTTCAGGGTGGTCCTAAGCTCACTGTATAGCCTAGGCTGAACTCGAACTTGCAATGACCCTCCTACCTCAACCTCCTGAGTGCTAGGATTATGGGCATGCACTACCACGTGGAGGACAGAATGAACTTTTTATAATTTAAAAAATCCGGAGCTGAGAGCTAGGTGTAGCGGTGACCCACCTGTAGTACTAGCATTCCTGAGGCTGAGGCAGGAGTATTGCAAGCTCAAGGCCAGCCTGGGATACATAGGGAGACCCTGTCTCCAAACAACAAAACTTGGGAGATGGAGGTGTAACTGAGTCATAGAGTACACACATCCACAAGCCCCTAGGTTTAATTCCCAAACAAAAATGTATAAATAAATAAAAATCAGAAGCTTCTTGTGCCATAACTTATTCCCAATACATGTTTATGCTATAATTTGTGACCTACTGGTGAACAACTACACACGACTCTTTGCATACCTGTAATTTTCTGCCACACCAGCCCTACTCTGGAGATATTTCATGTGTTTTGTTTTTGGTATTTTTTCTCTTTTCTTGGTTGTTTTTAATTCCTTTTTAAAAATAAAAACAAAAGGAAAATAGATAGGGGAAAGAGAATTGCCAGAAGGAAGATGGCCCCAGAAGAAGGCTCTGACCCTCTGTCTCCCTCTTGGTTTGGCTGCACCCACCAGCACCAGAGAGAGAGGTGACAAAGGGGAACAAACCTAGGCTGGGTGTGGTGGTGCACCCCTGCAATCCCAGCACTTGGGAGGCTGAGGCAGGAAGAGTGTTTTGAGTTTGAGACCAGTCTGGGTTACAAAGTGAGCTCAAGGCCAGTTTGAACTGCATAGCGAGACCCTGTCTCAAAAAGACCAATAAAAGGGCGGGGGGACAAACCTAACAGTCCTACTGACCCTAAGACTCAAAATATCTTGATAGCTGAGGTAAAAAATCAACAGAGCCGTCATGGAGCAGCAGAAAGGCTGTAAGTCCAGAAAGAGGAATCAGACCTGACAGCAGTTGGTGAGTTGGCTTCCTGGGGACAATTGCTCAGAATAAACCAAAAAGAGAGAAGGGAGGGGTGGTTTTTCTCATGAAGTGCTGTAGCTGTAGTTCTTGCCTCTTGAATTGACAGCACTTTGCCAGGAAGGCAGCACACAGTAAATTGTTAAATTAGCACATTCCTAATTTCAGTTAAGACTTAATTTACCAAGGTAAGAAAGAGGGAAACCTTTAAATCGACCTATTTAACCCCCTTTGTATAGAGATGCAGTTATTGTGATTTTTGTGGTATAGGGATAGACAAATAATAAATTAGTATTAGGGCCTAATAATGAGAAGAAGCAGGTCTGCTCCCCAGATGAAGGCCGAAGTCACAGTCCCCTGCTATAAACTACGTTGTATTAAAATTTTCATTGCCATCCTAGGTAATAAACACCCTTTCTTAGCAAGGGAGGAACATACAGCCTTCAGTTTTTCCTTCACTAGTTCTGGTTAGACTGGGAGTCTATGTGCCTTCCTGAATCCTGAAAATAAATCATGCTGTATCCTAATAAGTAAGCACTTTTAGAGGAAACCAGCCCTGAAATTATGTAGGCGGTAAACTTGCGTTCTTTCTCCAGTGTACCTAGCGCCGTGCTTTGCTTTCAAAGATGACACCAGCCCGGCCACTCTCTCCAGCCGTGGTTTGGGAGTGAGGCCACATTTCCATCAGAGCCACTTTGAATCTGCTTTTTCCATCTGATCCTGTAATTAAATATTGGATGCATTCACTTGTTTTGATGTCAAAATTGCACCTTTCACCATCGTCCTCCGGGTGTATTCACATAATTTTTAAGTACATAAATCACTAAAGTACGTGTCTTGCTTTTTAGAAAAACATTAAACAAACATTATATCATAATTGCTATTTAGAAGCATAGGGGTTGGACTATCAGCTTCACAGACATCTACTGAATCCTGGCCAGTAACCTGCCGGCTGAGGGGAGACAGAGCTCTACATATTCCATCCACCATCCCCTCCACCCCGCCCCCACCAGGACTGGGAATTGAATAATCCAGGACTTTCCCACTGAGCTATATTCCCAGCCCATCGTTCCTTCTTCCCCCCACCACTTTTCTTCCTTCCTTTCTTTCCTTCTTTCTCTCTTTCTTTTTCTTTCTTTCTTGCCTTTCTTAAAATTTTGAGACAGGGTCTTGCTAAATCACTAAACTGCCCAGGCTGGGCTCAAACTTTCAGTCTTGCTGCCTCAGCCTCCCAGAGGGTGGAGATTATAGGAAGGCACCACCAGTCCCAGTCTTCCTCAACTCCTCACTCTACTCAGACTCTGGCCTCACAGCCCTTGAGAGAATGTGAAAGCTACTTTCAGCCCTGAATTTAGAGCAGCAACATATCAGAAGATAAAAATGGAAGCTTTAGTTACCCAGAACTTTATTTAAACTATGTTAGGGAAACTTGAAATGTGCATATCAAAGGTAAAAGTGAATACCCAGCATTGCTAGTTAAAAGTTGTTTAGCACTCTGGTTAACTGACATCCCAGCTCCACTACTCTTTTCTTTTTCTGCCATTGAAGATTGGATCTAAAACCTTTTCGCTGAATCATATCCCAGCCTTTCCTATTTTTAACACTGAGACAGGGTCTTGCTAAACTGCTCAGGCTGGCCTCCACTTTGTCATCTTCCTGCCTCAGCTTCCCAGAGTGCTGGGATTACAGGCATGCACCACCACCTCCAGTTCCACTACTCTTTATTAGGTAATTTTGAGCAATTTATTGAAGCTCTGGGGCCTTAGATTTCCCATTGACATAACACCAGTAAGTATCTAACTTAGCCAGGTGTGGTGGCGCATGCCTGTAATCCCAGCACTCGGCAGGCTAAGGCAGGAGGATCTTTGTGAGTTCGAGGCCAGCCTGGGCTACAAAGTGAGCTCAAGTCCAGCCTGAACTGCATAGCGAGACCCTGTCTCAAAAAGACAAAAAAAAAAAAAAAAAAAAAAAAAAAAAAAAAAAAAGGTATCTAACCTATCAGGTGAACTGAGTTTCTAAATGTACAATGCTTACTATAGTACCACACACATATCAGTGCTCAATATTCACTTTTTAAAAAAGAATCATCGCTGGGTGTGGTGGCGCACACCTGTAATCCCAGCACTTGGGAAGCTGAGGCAGGAGGATCGTTGCAAGTTCGAAGCCAGCCTGGGCTACAGAGTGAGCTCAGGGGGCTGGGGATTTAGCTCAGCGGCACAACGCCTGCCGGGCAAGTGCAAGGTCGTGAGTTCGATTCCTGGTACCGGGAAAAAAACAAAAAACAAAACAAAACAAAGTGAGTTCAAATTCAGCCTGAACTGCATAGCGAGACCCTGTCTCAAAAAGACAAAAAAAAAAAAGAATCATCATGCCAGGTTTGGTGGCATACAACCTCGAATTCAACTACATGATGAGACCCTGTCTCAAAAAACAAGGACTCATTGCAGCTTGATGCTGTGGTGCATACCTCTAATCTCAGCACTCTGGGAGGCTGAGGCAGAAGAGTCCCAAGTCTGTGTCTAGCCTGCGCAAGTTAGTGCTTTAGCAAGATTCTGTCTCAAAATGAAAAAGGAGCTGTTGCTCAGTGTGAAGACCCTGGATTCAACACACCTACACCCACATTGCCCCCCCTACACACACACAAAACAGCACCAGAGAATCATCTATATTCAATGGAGAGACTTGCAAACTGCCTTAAATCTGTTGTTGCCTAATCACTATGCTCTATGGACCTCTGCCTCCCTCTGTAGATCATGCCACCACCTGGGTCCTCCTTTTCCTCTGTAACAAATTAGTCTCACCTCCTGTCATTCTTGACCCAAGATCCCATAGCCTGTTGCTCAAACTGCTGAAGCTCAACTCTCCATATGGATTTTTGGAAATGCAATTTGTATCTTTCTTTCTTTCTTTTTTTTTTTTTTTTGGTCTTTTTGAGACAGGGTTTCACTATGCAGTTCAGGCTGGCCTTGAGCTCACTCAAACTCCCAAAGATCCTCCTGCCTCAGCTCCCCAGGTGCTGGGATTACAGATGTGCACCACGCCGGGTGGCATATCTTCTGCAAGAAAAGGGGGAAGGAAGCTGGGTGTGGTGGCACATACCTGTAATCCCAGCACTCCGCAGGCTGAGGCAGGAGGATCATTGCAAATTCAAG